TATGCACAACATTACATAGCAACGAGCTTCTTAGCTATCAGAGCTGTGGCGGACGAGCGTGCGCCGCCCATACATGTAACGACTCAAATTAACAGATTGTTAATATACAGAGAATTTGATGAGCTTTTGCATAGTGAACCATGGTTATAATATCTTCCAATTAAGAAGTAATCAAAACTGTGGCAGATGTGCGTGCGCCGCCCATACACGTAACGAACGTACAGTTCAGCCTTTTTTTATGCAATATGAGGCAAACGAGCAGACAGATCACCTGGTAAGCGATCTCCGCCGCCCATGGACATTCGCAACACCAGAGGAGTCACAAGTGCGTTGCCGGCCTTTTAAAAAGGAATACGCTCTTTTCTTGAAGGTTTGAAGGACGTATCGTTTCGGAAATACCGCCGACGACATATCATCCCAATTTTGATGTGCAAGCCAACCATTTATATGATGGGGATGCAGCTGTGAAGGTCGATGGCGAAAAGACGCGGCTGGTATCGGACCAAATAATTTCTCAGACCACTCCCCAGGGTATAAGCGATAGAAGATGCACAACGAAGCTAATCTCTACGCACACGATTCGCACGCCGCTGAGCGCGGTCCAGAGAAATAAGCTGTTACTGGGGTGCCCCGCCTAAAGATGAGAACAGTATTGAACAGAGGTGAAAAACTGCCGCGATCTATTGAGCACACCAAGCTTCTTCGAGCCTAATTAGGCTATATCCTCTATATGACCGCGGAACTGAACGTCGCTCAAAATGTCGACACCAACTATTCTAATATCGGCTGAGGCAGTTAGGGGGTGGTTTGAAACTGAGGCGACACGACCAACGGCAGTTTCTTAGCGCTAAACACAGACTTGTGTCTTAGTGAGGTTAAACTGGACCAAATTAAGCCTACCCGAATCTGAGATTTTCCCTGAAGAAATTCGATTCTCGATTTCAGACCCAAGTCTGTTACGACCCTCGATGACGTTTTCCCGAGAAATGCTAGCGCGGCCGGTGTAATAGGCATCCCCTGGGCTGTCATCCGCATAACAACGAACGCTGATTTGCAGCATGTCATTGATATGGAGGAGGAACAATGTAGGGCGTAGGCCATAGCACGCAGCATTAAGGAACACCTGTGTTCTACAGACAGCGAGTCAGAGCATTCATCGTTAACAAGAACCATAATAATTTTGCCTGCAAGGAAACAGGAGACCCATCCACATAATTCGATGAGTCGCCTTTTTTAGGGTTCGGGTGGACTAAAGGCGTCTTCTATAACGTCGGGACTACGCCTGAAGAGAACAGAGCCAAAAAAGACGTGTTAGAACTGAAGCCAACTCAGAAGCTCGCTCGACTTTTGGACATCAAGCGACACCAGCGCTGGGTAGCGCTGGTGGAACCGGATAGAGAGCCGGTGGTGGAAGGCAAAGTTATACTCCTTTTTCAGTGCACTGGTGCACTAAAAATGGTGCGGTGGGAGCATGCATTGGCCCAGACTTGGTAGGACTCCCGCTTTCTGCGTGAGGCCTTTCTGGTAGATGAACCATACCAGGGCCGATATCTGCCACCGACGGGGACCGCAAAAGATGGAACGAAATGCTCCATCCCTTGCAGCATGTCATCCGCAACAGAATCGGCAGCGGCGTTGGGATCATTAACCAATTGGGTCAGACCAAAAATAAGGGTATAGTCATGGACAGATCTCCCCGCGTGGTCAGTTTTATTGCCAAAGCCAGTCAGCGTGCTAAGCGTTAAAATCGCCAAGTAAAACCACCTCAGTTGAGGGTATCTATCGCTGCACAATTTCCACAGCCGTCTAAATGTGATCCATGGGTCGGCCAGTCTCGCGATCACCACTGTGGGATTTATATGGGCACTAGACACGAGGATGGTCGTCGTTATCTACACGCAGCCATAAATAAGATGGACAGAAACAGGACCCTATCTTCAAGATGCCGGCCGGTGCGCTGTCCAGGGGCACCTCGACCGGGGTATGCCCCGACCCTAGGCAGGAAGAAATGTGTCAGTCAATTCCCAGGGTAGGTGAGGTCTGCGTCTCATTCAAGAAGAGCAATGCCGGCTTTTCTGTCTTTAGGACTGTAATACCTTCCAATCAGAGAGCTGTGGCGATGTGCGTGCGCCGCCTATACATGTAACGACTCAACCTAACAAAAACATGTTAATATACAGAGAACCCTGGGACATAATTTTATGAGCTTTGGCTCAGTTACCTTGCAAATAGAAATAGTCTGAGCCGTGGCGGAGCTGGGTGTATTTTGCCCACTAATGGTCACTCACATAAAGATTTATACGAAATTTAAGATTTTACAATTTACAATTTTATTTATGCAGTATCATACTATAAGCGCCATATTTCAATATGATATAGAAATACCATCTATATAAAACTTAGTTAGACGGTTATATAAAAAATTTATAGAAAAATAACATAATTAAGTTATGTTATTTTTCTTACTTGCTTGCTAAGAAAAATAGATTTTTCTTATTAGTCAAGAAACATAATGGTCAACTGTACACACGAGGCCCTTTATACTTTTAGAAATCTTTACCTGACTGAATGACGTACCTACATATGTAACAACAACATTAACAACGCGTAGAAACTGCATGGCTAATTCTTTTGTTATGAATCAATTAAAGAGTTGTCTCACACAATTTGACGAATACTATAAACACGAGAAGTATTTTTTGGCGACTTTCACGAGTTGTAACTCATGACTGCACCGGGAACCGCGTGGCAGACGCTCACTACTTACAAGTCTATGAGGAGAACTATTTTAAAAATAGCACCTTTTTTATACGGTCCTACAATAAATTTGTAGGATGGTTTTGCATGTTCGCTAAAATTATATGTATCAGAGACATTGTAGAACATACTTTTTTTTAAAAGAGTAACGAATGGAGTTTGTTGCTTGTTCTTCTCCATTCGAATCTTCATTTTGGAATGAGCACTTAGCTTCACCTAGCTTCACTGACGGACTGACTGACAGACTATTATTTATTTTGTATTTGTTGACGTTTCAAAAGTACCAAATTATGGTCTAATTGAAATAAATGCTTTGACTTTGACTAATTGATTTGCTTTGTAGCTTTCAATACACAAACTCGAAAAAGAAGAGTGTTTATGAGATGATTTGTATGCTTTAGAGAATCGCCATGACAAAAGAAGTCTTGGTCCGATCTCAACCTTAGAACCCGATGGTAATTGATCAAGGATCTCTTGATTTACAGCGTAACAGGGTCAGAGCATAGGGCTAGGTAACAATATGACTATTTTATGCAAAAGGTAAAACCTAGTCACTAGGACCAGTTAGGAGATTAAAATTATACATGATAGCTCATGGTTAACTTGGTTAGGTAGTATGTCTTTACGATTCACAGGACCACAGGGTTCCGCCCATTTGGGAGGCGTACGAGGGGCTGAAGCCACCTGCGCATAGGCCTTTTAGTAGACAACTTTAATCTAAACGTACTAGACAAACAAACCGGCGACTATCCCTGTATACATTTCTATGGAATGCACCGAAGGACAGTCCCCGGTTAGTGTAGTGTGGATAATGAAAAAAAGGTAGTCCTATGGATGGGTTCCGGTAAATTGGAAACTATAGATGACTATGGCACATGCCGAAACAATGTAATTGTTACAATACGTTATTATTTTCGGTTCCATTTTCTAAGCTCGGCTACAGCGCCGGATTTGAGGGCTAGTACGGGCCGAAGCCAAGTGCTAACCCACGTGGACGTTTCAATTTTGGGTTGGGGTGAACGAAACTTTGTCGGTTTCGTTCAAAAATTTTCGAACAATATGGCAGGTATTTAAAATGGCAGCTTTTTGGAGGATTCGATATGTGTATGGAGGTAGTTCGAGTGTTTTATGGATTGATGGAGTTGTTTTGGAATAACCCCCGTTGTTGATAATACTATGGGAACTATTGTGACGCTGTTAAGTCGCCACATTCTGGTGATTTCTATTTTCAGGTCGGTGTATTTAGAAAGTTTTTCTGCAATTGTGTTTTGGAGGTTATGTGCAATACGTTATTATTATTATTATGATATTAATAAAGATTATTTTAATACATATATCAGGGGATAGATATAATAAATAGTGATTTTGAATATTAAAACAAGATATTCCATGCATCTACTTTATTTACATCAATAATTTTTTTATACATTCATATTACATATTATTGGCGTGTGTGCCAAAATGTACTTTCTTGGCTTTATATACACTTTATATGCTTTTAACAGGCCCGGGGTCTTGTCTATAGACACTACCCACGGACAATCATTACCCCATCTGTGATAACCATCATAAATGAATAAGTAATTTTATGTTTTGATAGGTATATCGTATCGAGAATTCTGGCACCTTCAACGTTTCGGATTCTCATATATAGACAATCATTATTATTAATACGAAAACATTTAACATCATTTACGTATTTAAATTGAATATTTCATTAAAACGTTTCATTCTACTACATTATTTATAATTTTATAATTAGGAATACAATTCATAAAATTATTATATACAAAATTACTATTACAAACGTATGGACATTCACTTAATTTCTTATTTGATTCTCACCCTTAAGACCGTTGGTGAGTACATGAATATTTTTATTTTTGTTAAATATATCTATTGTATAAATAGAAGACATCAGTATACTGTTTATTTATATACAATTTATTAATCTGAGGAAAACAAGGGAGTTCTAAATTCGGATTTTTTATGGTTTGTACCAAAGAACTCCATCCTCTAATATTTTATTAATTTAAACAGCTTTTATCGCTGGTGGACAAATTATATACACATTTTACTGTACGTATATTAACATTTAATCTTGTAATAATGAAATATACCAAATTACACATTTATATAGTTCATGATAATTTATATCTTATTTGTACACAGCAGTGTGCACTTAAATGAATTTTACCAATTGGAGAGTCAACATAACAACCTTTTTTATTTCAATTTACACAAAGGGTAATATAATTACAACTACATAGGTTGTTATGACAATTGGTTTCATATACATATAGTATAATATACCATTATAAGTGTCCGACCGAATGTCCGGTTTGGGTTTCGTTTTCGGTAAGTTTCGGAAAAAAACACGACTTTCGGTTTAATGTCGTTACAGCGGCAAACCTGCCGAAACTACAACCGAAACCGATAGTGCCTTCGGGAGTTCGGGGGTGTAAAAACTCCCGAACTGCCGAACTCCCGGCGTCCCGGCGTCTTCAGCGTTCTCAGCGTCCTCAGCGACCCGGCGCGGTGCCTCTGACACCGCGCCGGGTCGCGACGGTTAACAACGGTTGGGTCCTGGCCTGGGAAGCTTTCGGCTAGCCAGTCACTTCTGAGTATGCTTCAAGAGGGGCCAGGTCCCACTGTCGTAGAAGTCGGATAAGCTAGACCTCGTGAAGAAGCCGGAGCGCCCAACGGACTTCCGCGTACCGGTCCATCGTCCTACTTGACGAGGTGGAAAAGCTCTTCGCAAGAATCATTTCGAGTCACCTCGTGGAGCACCTGACCGTGAGGAGAAAGTAAGTAGAACCGGCGAGACATATCGCGCGGTATCCCAAAGGGATCAGGACGCTCTTGTGGGGCATCAGCTAAGACTTGATATTGTGCACAGACTTCGCGAGTGGCATGAGCGTGCCCTTCGGGGCAGGTCCAGGGCGGAGGGATTGCCATTGCAGTCGGCTTTGTTTCGACAATGAAGCACCTGGGAGTCAAACTCGATGATCAGTGGAACTTGGAGGAGCACTAATGACGTATATTAGTTTTTAAATTAAACGGATCAACCCAGCGAGCCAAACGCGTCCTGAGAGAGGCAATATGCGGGGATCGTGGGATCTATGGCCTCCTAATAGGTGCAAAGGTTCTTTATTTTAACTCAAAATATGACTCTTAAGTTTCAGTATTCGCCAAAACTATAGTTGCCGAATTCCGTTTTTGGTTCGGTTTCAGTTGTAAAACTAGTTGCGATCGGACACTATATGTATATTGTATGGGTATGGTACACATATTATGCACATACTGTCAATATGACTACAAGTAGATATGAACAATGATAAAATATGACAAAGCCGGGAAGAGGAGGATGCTTCAGAGTTAACGAAATAATGAGAGGACATTAAAAAGTGACAGGTGATACGTATATCGTGGTCCACAAGGATTTGAAATTCTCAATCATACATTAGAAAAAATCCTGTTTTCCGGAAACTGTATACAAGCCTTGTCAACAAGTTATCGTTATCACGCGTCTTTATTCACATGTTAACTTCACCCACTCATACTCGCTAATTGATGAAATATCATTAACTTGCGAGTGCTTATCACAAATTTGTATCACAGTACGTTTAGGCCGTTCCTACTATTACAATGTACCGGCCTCACAGTCTTAATAATATACAACAGAAAATCCATTCATTCCATATCAATCCAACATTATACATCCATACATATTTACACATATATTCGGAAAAAGGATTCGACGACGATAAGAAAATTTTAGAAAATGACAACACTTATTTTGTTTTTCCTAATACATCAACGTCTTCAAGTATTAGAACTAATTTAATTATGAATTATTTTCCACTCTACTTTTTGTATTAATTCTAGAACACCAAATTGGTATTGAGGATTTTATATTTTTTACTCTACCTAATATGAACAACCACAAATGGTTTAAACAACCAAATAAGTTAAAAGAGAGGAAATGCGTGTATTCCTTAATGCTAGTTTACCACAACCGAATTTACGTTGTTGTCACAATATGGTTTCAAGCTCTATACCAGCTTCTCTTACTAATTCATTTTTCGGATTTTATCTTCTTGCCCCTTCGGGAACGTTTTGGGGGAAGCAACGGTTGAAGAAGCTCTCCTTGGCGGCTTTTCGACCTTGTCACGACACGAGTCGTGGCAAGTGGTGGACACGTGGCCATATTTGGTATTTCAGGTTTCGCAGCTTCCGGGTCTTCTTTTATCGGACTGCTTTTTGGAGTTATTGGCAATGGTTTGATTTTCGTTATTTCGCTTGTGGCCGGTACTTGGTGGATGGTAGACTGGTTGGGAATCGTAAGCGAGACTCTTTTGCTACACCAACGAGCTCGGAAAGTACTTAGCGGGTCGGGAGCAGGTTCAGAATCACAGAAAACAAAAGGATCATGCTTTTCTTTGTCTGTTATTGGATTCACTACTAGGCTACTACGTTTGGTTGGAATAGTTATGCTAGTGTCATCAATGATGTGTTCCGCGAATCCATAATTTGATTCGTCTTTTACGTCAAAATGACGGGCATTATCGTCGAAGCAGTGCAATTTCTGATTAATAACGTCCCCAACTTTACTTTCTTTCTTTTCAGGCCGCGTTACTTTTGTAGGATTCGTTCCTTTTTTAGCCGGACCAGCCTTTTGTGTCTGGTTTTTCTTTTTTATCGTTGATTTTGTTTGTTTATTAGATCTATTGTGTATTTGATTGTTCAGATATATAGATTTTCCACTCTTCCTCTTGTCTTCATTTGGAGGGGGCAATATCTGTTGTTGTCTTAATCCACCCAGGCTGTGAGATGGTAAAAACTGTACTTCTTGCTTATCTGTATGAGTTAGGGCTGAACCGGATAATCCGACCGATGGGGGTGCAGCAATTGATGGTTGCTCGCTGAGTACCTGCGGAGACGGTAAGTTGGGCTCTTGAGAGTCCAAGTAGCGCAATAACTGTGCCGCAGTAATACAAATATCCCCGTCGACGTTATTATTTACTTCACTTTCACCCGGTTGTTGATCGGGTGTTTTTCGTTTTAGTTTTTTCTTCTTTTCGCTTTGCAGTAATTGTTCAGGAGGTACAGGTGGCACCACCTCTGGGTTGAAGCCGTCTAGCTCACTTTCTGAAGTCTCATTCGATTCAGGATTGTATAATTTACTATCTGTCTGCGATAGTGATGGCTCTAAATCCGACAAATGGAGCACAGGCAGTGGTTCCAAGTCAGATTGGATCTGGATGCCTGGAGGTATTATTACATCGTTTGATGCCGAAAGATCGCTGATTTCGTTGCATGGCGCTAAAGGCGGCAATTCAAGATTTGCCGGATTTGGATTAGGCATGTACGTGCGTACAGGAACTGCATACGCAACCCAACTTGATTGCGAACTTGTCGCGAGTGATGGCGATTGTATTACATACATAGAAGGTTGTTGGTTAACATCGGGAAGTGAACCTTGGACACTTAGAATTAGACCGCTGTCTAATTCCAATAATCGACGCAAGTTATACCTAAAAAGAAAAAAATATAGATATTAAAACGTATTATTTATACAAATAATAATAATAAGCTTCTAAGACGTCGATAAGATATTGACTAAATTGTGACGCATAGCTCAGTACCTTTAACCCCATTATGTAAAATTTTTCAAATGGAATAAAATGAAAAACCAAAGGGGATAGAGGACTGAACTGAACCAAGTTTATTTTAAACGCGACATACATAATATTGCACTACTATTTTACACTCAACATGTGCAAAATAATGAACAAACAGACAAGCAATTTAAAATAAAAATATAAAAAGTACTCACATTCACAAAGTGTCTACCTCGTTCACAACACATACGAAGCAGCTTTCCTACAAGTAGGAACGAGGGACTCAGAAGACCGCTTGCAAACACTCAACTACAGACTGAACAACTCCAAAGACATCTGCATTGCTTATATCTCTTGTTAACATTTTTTAGTTATGACTAAATTGACAACATTTTTTTTTATTAAAGTGTGCCGTTATATTGTGGAGTTTCCAAAGTTATTAACTTAATTGTTCTATGGGAACTCATATTTTCCATCAATTCTAGCACAAACTAACTGACTAAGAACATTTCATTTTTATAATATACTAATCATACTAGTACCTATATTGTGATATTTTTGCATAGTTTTTGATATTTTCTGAATTTGATAGTACTTATAATTAGTTTTCTATGTGGACTTTCCTCTTGAAGTCTCTGATGTTCGTCTGTCTCTCACCAGGTAATATGTCATGAACTAGAATGGCTAGACAGATCTAATTTTCACAGTTGATGTATGTCTGTTGCTGCTATAATGAATATGTTGCAGTCAGAACCATTAAAAGTACTATTAACTAGCCAAATCAGTGAAAAGTACTTTAATTGATTTTGTTACTTAATAGTACTTTTGACTGGGTAGTAGTTTTGACTGTAACAGATTTAAATACCAAAAAAGTGTCATTCTCATATGAAATAAAAGTATTTTTTGACACTGCTGTGCTTGAATCTGACTTGGCACCTACTTAGTTTCATAAATCACTATTTTTTAAATGTTGTCAATTTCTGCTACATAAATGTCTTTTTGAATAGAACCTATGTGTTTAATACTTGGGATCAATTTCAGGCTACTTTAAAAAAAAATACTTACAGTTAGTTATAACAAAAAAGTATCCCACTCTTAGAATTTTCAGCAATTGCAGGCTTTATGTTGTTTAACATTTTTATATTAATTATTATTATCTATATACATAAAAGAAATTCGTGTCAGCTACACTATGTAGAACTCAAGAATGGCTAAATTGCATAAATCGTTATAGCTGAAAATTTGTGGGAAAATAGCTTGGAATCAAGAGATGTCGCGGGCAGGAGCTGGTTATAGATAAATGTCCCCATTTAACTAAAAAAAACTGTAAGTATTTTTTTATTCAAGAGTGCCGTTATATTATTTTTAGAATCTTGAGTTTCCAGGGTTATGAAGTTAATTGTTCCATGGTAACTCATATTTTCTATCAATTCTAGCACTAATATAACTAATATTTTGCAAGCGGTCTAGAAATTAAAAAGAGATAACGAAGGCGCCATGCTCAAAGGCATTTTATAAATTTACAATAAAAGCTAATTTTATTATGAGTGTTTACCGGGTTCCTATTATTTTATATTAAATTTTTTAATTTTTTAATCTCAAATGTAATTAGTAAAAAGAAGAAATATTTATTTAAAAATGTGTATATCAGATGTTCTATTGTTTGAATCAATATAATTAGGTACCCACAAAACTTTAAAACATTGTTTTGTTTAGTATACTCAGTGTAAGTTCAGTACACTTCAGTAAAAGACAACAGCTTCAGTACTGATTCTAGCCAACCACACCCCTGACCTTGCAACCTACATTTCAAGAATATCAAGTCTTTCATTGCACCCCCACCCTCCTCTTCACTACTTTCCACCCCCCACCCCCGCATTAATAAATCGATACAGTGGGACGCGCAGTCGCGACGCTCAAGCCACAGCTAAAAATACCCATTCCGCCCCACCCCACAGAACCCTTACATGCCTAACTTTATCTCAGAACTGTATCTGCATAATCATGAATTTATAAATTCTTGCAAATACTCGCTGTGCAATAATTAAAACAAAAATGCTTAATCAAAGTAGTAAATTATGATCTAACCATAATTATCCCGTAGCAGTGTTTGTTTTTTTTATTATTTATGTTGGAGCAAAAGCAGTGTTTGTTTTTTTTATTATTTATGTTGGAGCAAAAATAATAATTATGAGGCATAGCACATGTAGCTCATGCTAGAAATATTTGTTTTCACAATCGCGGAAACAAAGAAATTAATTACTAAGTCGCTGAAAAATACAAATAACATAATAACACCAAAAGCACACAAAAAAGAAACTACAGTGAAATAAACAGGCATTACTCAAGAATACATAAATTGTACTTACATTGTCCTTAGTTTTATATGCTGACTAATTTTATTCAGTTCAACAGCAAAGCGGTGTACACTTGAGCGCAGTGTCTCCAGATCTTCTGGGTTCCATACTCTGTAAAGAAGACATTAACAAATTCATAAAATGGCATGGTTGCCCGGTGTATGGCAATAGGCTCACTCCTAATACATGGGACTCATAACATAAGGAGTGAAAAGTGGGTGTTACATTGTACAGTGGCATTAAACTGTCAAACACCAAGCGGTCACCGGTGACCGCAACCTATTGTTCTATCAATAATGACGGTCCTCGACGAGTTAAGGGTTGTTATGTGCACCTCTGCCTACCCCTTCTGGGATAAAAAGGCGTGATGTCATGGTATGCCATAAAATGGTCAAACATCAAACACTTTGATTTCACGAAAATAATGTGCACTTCTAACATTTTGCACTTGCTCAACACTAAAATATAAAGAATTTGTAATCACCAGTGAAAAAATCACGAGCACTAAACAAAACACTGCTGCTAGAACGCCAGCTGAACTGCGACTGACGCGCGCAACTCGTACTGCGCGCTACCGGCTAGATTCTGACAAAGGATATTCTAGACTAGCTGAATTGATTTTTCAGGATGTAAGATGTACGATGCGCAGCGCGGAACGCAGCGGGGTGGCTAGCAACTACCGCCCAGCCCCACCCCGTATTTGCGCCCTATATTTAGAGCGTGTATATACTAGAAACAATTGAAAAACAAAATAGGTAACAGAAGTAAATTCACATGTAAATAAATTGCAGAAAAATACTCACTCTGCCGATACTGAATCTTCCGCAGCTTGTAATGACATAGTCATCTCAGAGAGTTTGTTGAACGCTGTTCCCGCCTCGCGAAAAATATCGTCAACCTAATAAATAAAATAAAATTAAAGCCTCAATTTTTATTGACTCATTGTACATATAATTAATTATAAAATATTACTCACTTTTGCAGAGGAACTAGTCATTTTAGATGAGTAATAATAAAATAAATTACAATTTAACTAACTTTATACACAGTAATATTTACATCTAAGTAGGTACGTAGGTATTATTTTATGTTATTTTCTCTTAATAATTACTATTACTATTTAACACGACATACACTAGAAAAGAATTCTACACAACACGGCACATTTAAGCCCGATCAGCTGAAATCTGCGTAATTTTAAGCCAAAATACTGAATGTAATCACGAACAAGTGTTTAATCGTTGCAATTATGCTGTACACTAACACATACAGATAGGTACAATAATGTGAGTACAAATACAATGCAGCACGATTCACACTTCACACAGTTGACTTATCACTAGTTGACGTTTGTGCATTCTTCGTGACATTAAACGTCAACTGTCAGCTGATAAGATAATCCAAGAATCCACAGATTACTTTCTTGTCAATCCATAGATAAATAAACTTTTATATAGATCGGAAATACCTTCACATTACTACTAGTCTAAGATCCCGCCTTGAACGACCTTCACCGAGATGCTTATTTGATGAAACATATTTTATATTCAATTTAATATGTCAATAATTATATTCCGTATGGGTTGCCTAATAAATTTCAGTCCAGAACATGGCTAATTAATAATTTAAAAAATATTTTTTTTCAAATGTTTCACCGGTTTGACTATTAAACAAATTCCATTTCAATCGAAAGTATGAAGCCCATAGAATATGGAAACGTTAGGTTGCCTATTGTATTCCAGTCATAACTCTCGGGTTGCCAGGTCTAAACAGGTAAATTTATAGTAGGATTTTGCAACGGCCTGATAATATAATCAAATTTAATTCAAAATAAAGATTATATAATTATGAACACGGTAAAATAGGGTTGCCTGCGAAAAATCAGTCCTGAATTAGGGTTGTCGAATTTTAAAAAGTGAAATATTGCCGCGAGTGAATAGGTAAGACTGAGAGGTCCCAAGCAACCGTTCCGTGCGTTGGAAGAGGACAGAGTATAACAGCTGCTTTTTAATGCTGCTGCTGCTGTTTTTGTGTCATTAACAGAAGCTGCTGATATTTTCATTGAATATAAAATAAAAATAGTTCAAGAATTTATAGCTTGTATGTATAGGATTAAGAATTGCACTAATGTGAATAATGCAAGATATCGCATTATTATGAAAAAATACTCTGCTAAAGAAGACAGTGAGCAGTTTCTAAAAAAATCAAAGGCTTTGACTCCAACTCCATACCTCCGTGCTGCATATCATTACCACAAAAAGTTTTACAAACTATTTAAGTAAATTCGATGTGGCTGAATGCAACAGATCCAATATGTATCAAACTTAAATCTGAGAGCTGTGGTTGGTACTTAGATGAATATTTAAAACCACGAGGATTTATTGGGGATCATGCACCTTTAAGAATAGATGATATTGTTGAAAGAACCGAAACAGAGAGAGATGACGAAGAAGATGCAGGTGTCGAAGATCTAAGCTTTATTTCCGATGACTCAGGAGCTGAATAATAAAAAAATATATTTCTTTATATAAACAGTGATTTTTTTAATTGCTTTTCATTTTTTTTAATAAAAATTTTTTGGGTACTTCATCGTCGTCTCGACGCCGATGGTAACCCCTCGTGCCGTTATTTGAGACCCACCCGGAGGTGTTTTTTTTAGAAACTGCTCACTGTCTTCTTTAGCAGAGTAATTTTTCATAATAATGCGATATCTTGCATTATTCACATTAGTGCAATTCTTAATCCTATACATACAAGCTATAAATTCTTGAACTATTTTTATTTTAGATTCAGTGAAAATATCAGCAGCTTCTGTTAATGACACAAAAACAGCAGCAGCAGCATTAAAAAGCAGCTGTTATACTCTGTCCTCTTCCAACGCACGGAACGGTTGCTTGGGACCTCTCAGTCTTACCTATTCACTCGCGGCAATATTTCACTTTTTAAAATTCGACAACCCTAATTCAGGACTGATTTTTCGCAGGCAACCCTATTTTACCGTGTTCATAATTATATAATCTTTATTTTGAATTAAATTTGATTAAATTATCAGGCCGTTGCAAAATCCTACTATAAATTTACCTGTTTAGACCTGGCAACCCGAGAGTTATGACTGGAATACAATAGGCAACCTAACGTTTCCATATTCTATGGGCTTCATACTTTCGATTGAAATGGAATTTGTTTAATAGTCAAACCGGTGAAACATTTGAAAAAAAATATTTTTTAAATTATTAATTAGTCATGTTCTGGACTGAAATTTATTAGGCAACCCATACGGAATATAATTATTGACATATTAAATTGAACATAAAATATGTTTCATCAAATAAGCATCTCGGTGAAGGTCGTTCAAGGCGGGATCTCCTACTATACACTTCAAAGTGCTTTGCAATGGCGGATTGAACCAGAGGTGAGATCATGTTACTTTTGAAACAATAGAAAAGTATCGATATTTTATTAATTGTTATTCAAATAAAAAACTTAAATTAAAACTAATTATTACTTAAATAAAATTAAAACGAAATATTACTTAATTAAATTTATACAACATAAGATTAAAATTAATCATAGGAAAAACAAAAACAACTATTTACATAAAGCATCGAAAAATGTCAGTGGGGAAAGTACCCAAAAGGCTGGCAGCATTGCCACGTTGTATGCCAATGCTTAACCTCTGACCGAGAAAAAAACCAGCCCTCTGGTCACGAGATGTGTTGACCAGGCGTTTCGAAATGTTTTTGAACAATTTAAGCGCACTCGGACCCCACGGACCTAGCGTCTCAACCCCAAACGGCTCAAAGATATAACTACCAGCAAGGTTGTTACTTGCGCCGCTTGAGGTTTTCTGCAGGGGCAGCAGCCGAACCAGCACAACTCGCCGTTACTGGAAGATGAAAAGGTGCAAGGGTGTCGACGCAGGTTACGTCCCCCACCAAAGACCTAATCGACAAAAATGTACATCATTTTATTATTTATCTAGTTTTACTGTTTAACTTTGCTGAGCCCGGCCACATTTTTGGACGAATAGTATTCGTTACATTCATGATATCTGATGTTATAATGTAGACATTATACCAGGAGAATTATTATTATTAATTTAGAATAGTGTGGCCCCAGAGGGCCATTGCCATTAGGTCATTTTAAATTATTTAAACGTTTAATGGTATGAACAATTAATATTTTCTTTCATTACTAGATAGATAAAGTTGTAGGTAAATATAGCAATACGGCGGCATGCGAAAAACTGGCTACATGTCAATATTTGTCTTTGTGTGGAGCAATATGGCTACAGGTAAAAGAACGAGACGCCATCGTTAGGTTGGTGCTTGACAGAACAAGGACAAAGAAAAGATGGACATCATATACGTATAACTAGGAATTAATGTTTGACTGCACGGTTGGCACGGTGGTTGGCCAACTGGCTGCCGTGCAACGGTCGCGGGTTCGATTCCCATATCGAATATGGGACGGGACTCCTTGTGTGATCCACAGGTTGTTGTTCCGTGTTTGGGTGTCATGTGTTTTGAACTTGTATGTTTGTGAACGCACCCACGACCCAGGGGGAAATACTAGTATGGGACAACGTTTTTTTAAAAAAAGAAAATACATGTTTGGTCTGCTTATTGTAAGTCTATGACATATTATACTTCATTCTTCCTATAGACAATAATTTGAAATCTATATTATTTTGATAATCATCAACGAACGAACATTTTTGATTTTTCGTTATTTATATAATAATTGATCATAGCATGAATGGTGTTTCTTATTACTATTGTATCACTAAATAATAGTGTTTTCTTTCAACTCGTCAAAATAATAACTCAGAATTTGTGTAGTATATTATCTGTGACAAAAGAGGAAACAGTCTAAAAATTTAGTTAACCGAATGAACAATAAAAGAACGTAAATTGAGTTGGTGAACGATCTCTGATACTTAAAGGACGTAGTCATTCATTTCATTCAACTCTTGACTAAAATAAAATACAAATAATTTTAGAATCTGACTAAATATTTTAAAATGAAAACAATAGGTTCATTCACTTAACAAATAATTAAAGTAATAACTTGAAAATGGTATAAGTGTAAGAATATTTAAATATTGATGTTCGACATTCGTTTGATGTTATGTATTATTTAATTTCGTAAGGACGCCACGCCTGTTATGTGGTTGACGACAAGTATCTTTGGACATAAATAAATATTCCGTGAACCATGAATTTTAAAATTTGCAGTAACATATTTTGTGTCTAATTTGTGTTCATAGTTTTTACAATGGAACTTTTATTGATTTTATCCGTGGTTGTCGCGGGATATGCTTATGATAAAGGTAAGAAATACATCCCTTAGTATAAAAATATCAAAATAATTTAAGAAACGGTTAATATAGACAGAATATATGCTGGATATTATTCTGTAGGTATCACATCCGTTCATGTTGGAGACATTACACAAGCTTATTTTAAGTAGGTACTTTGATATAATATCTAGAAGTATTTAGGTGAATCACACTTAAAATATCATTTAAAGAGTATAATAATAAAGCTAGTACAAACTAACTGGGCTAATAGAGGACTTCACAGTTAGCGCTCAAAGTGCAGGAGTAGAAACAGGTTGGATTTTAGTTAGTATGAGACCCAGGCTGGAGATGCCATTGAATAATTTTCCCCACCATAAAAAAAAAGAATTAACTACATAAGTAGATTGTATGCTCATATAATTAAAACTATTAAACTGTCAAACACCAAGCGGTCACCGGTGACCGCAACCTATTGTTCTATAATTGTGTCTACAAAACCGGTACTCGACGAGTTAAAATTTGTTGTTGGTAATTGTTTTTAGGTACCTGGGTCTTACAGTATTTTATACAAAACTTAATATAGCATGTGATTGGTTAATAAACAATTTTATTTATTGTACCACCTCCTGCCAGCTGCTTTACCCATGTTCCTGTAGGATAATACATAGCTTATGTGTTATACTAGACTATAATTATTGACCCGGTTCAAATTTTCATCGCAAACCCTCCAGCTGTTTTGACATAAAAGAATAATAAACAAATAAACATAAAAATTTTCATATTCATAATAGGTATTAGTAGGATTAATTAATTACCTTCTTTACCTTTTAGACTTCTGATTTTTATGAAATGTAATAAATGTGTTCAAAGAACCTAATTGGCAGTTTCGAAATAAGAACTGAATGCAAAACAATTGAATTAGATTTCAAATTAAAAAAAAATATAGTTATTCAAATGTTGTGCCAGTTTATATTATTTGTTTTTTTTTTATCAACTTAGTCTATTCTTT